TATATATATATATATATGTAATATCCAATGTTGTTATTAAATTTCTCGAATAATTTTGGATTAGAGTAAGTTATGTTATTTTCTTTTATTTTTTATCAGCACCATAATATATAACACGTTCGTATTGTTTTATAGTTTTTTACAAATAAAAAATGCGTTAAAAATTATTTTTTTAATTATTAAAAATGGACGTACGAAAATGTATGTATAAGTAAACTTTCAAAAAAAAAATTAAAATCACACAGGCTGTGGTGGTATACTATATAGTATATATCATAGTGAATATATTAAAATATATATTTTTGTTTTCAATGGAAAGTTGTTTTTGATAGGAAATTTGATTTTAACTGAGTAAAATTAATTTTAAATATATATATATATATTTTTAAATTAAATTTTATAAAATTAAATATTATCAATTTTAAACATTTAATAATTTGAAAATAATTTTAAATATTTAATAATTATTTTATTAAAATGTTCCATCCAAAAATACTTTTAAAGTGTGTGAGGTACCTATTAGGATGAATTTTCATCCCCATAATATCGATTCAAGGCATTGATCTTCACTCTAATTATAGTCACTACAGAACTCCATGCATTTACTAAAAAGAAATTGGTTGGAGTATTTTTTAATTTTACATTGAAATATTTTTAATTTTAAAATTGAAATGATTTTTCTTATACATTTTTTAAAAATTAATTATGCTTTTAATGTTTTTAAACACTATTTATGCTTATTTAAATTCTACTATAAATTAATTGAATACATTTTTTTATAATTAAGAAAAGCTCTTTAACATAACAGGTTGCATGACTTTGGCAAAATCTGTAATAAATTCTATACCAATCTACTCAATGTAGAATCTTTGGCTCCCTAAGGAATGTGTGAGCAAATCAATAAGTCCGTAAGGGAATTTATTTGAGACTCATCGACCACTTGTTAGGTTAATTGGGACACTATAGTTCACCATAAGTCGCATGAAAGTCTTAGCATTCGACTAGCTTGTGACATGAATGTGGCCATGCTTGGCAAGCATTTATGCACTATTCTAACGAAGCTCAACAAGCTATAGGTTCATTTCCTAATAAATACCTTGAGAGGAGATATCTATTCTCCACCCACAACTTGTATTTGGTAGCTCATATGCTTGGTCCTCCGTTTGCAAAGCCATTGATTTTATCTAACAAGGATTCAAGTTTAATAAAGGTGAGGTAATTTATCTGTCTAGTTTGATAGATGGACCCCTTATGGGACCCTTTGTGATCATATGGCTGACCCATGTTATAAAAGGCCATGAAGTCTTCTTTCATTTGTACTGCTGGATTGTATACTTCATTAAGAAATATAATTCTGTTTCTGCTCCTCCCGTGGACGTAGCCCAATTCCCTGGGTGAACCACGTAAACCATTATATTCTTCCCACTTCCTTTCGCATTTTATTTCTCTGTCACGGTGTATATTACTTTTTGTGTTTGTTTGTCCTCTTTCAAATTTACAACAAACTGGTATCAAGAGCTCAAGTTGCGATCAAGGGAATTCAAGATTCTCGTCTGAATATAAAGATCAAACTCTGTTAGTCTTGTTTTTCTGGTAGCTTGTACTACGAACTTGGGATCAAGAACTCTCAAAAATGACAAACACAATCAGGATCGAGAAATTCAATGGAAAGAACAGTTTCAATCTGTGGCGCATCAAGATGCGTGCTTTGCTGAAGGAACAACGCGTATGGGCTCCGCTAGCAACAACATCTGTGAAGCAAGAAGTGCTTTCTGAACCCAAAGAAAAGGCCTCTGCTTCAAAGATTGAAGAACTTGCTGAACAGGAAGAAAAGGCTCACTCACTAATCCTTCTTTCTCTGTCTGATGAAGTCCTTTATGAGGTTGCTGATGAAGAAACTGCAAGTGGCTTATGGTGCAAATTGGAGAAACTATACATGACCAAATCCATCTGCAACAAACTTCTCCTGAAAAGGCGCCTATTTGGTCTCCACATGAAAGAAGGTACACCTTTAAAGGACCATCTTGATGAATTAAATTCTGTTTTGATGGAATTAAGAGATATCGATGTTAAGATAGAGGATGAAGATGCTGCCATGATTCTGTTAGCTTATCTACCACCATCATATGAAAGTTTTGTGAACTCTCTCAGTGTTGGTAAGGAATGTATCACCATGGAGGAGGTTAAATCCAGTCTACATTCAAGGGAATTTCGGTTGAGGGCATCTGGAAATTCTGAAGAATCAAATGGCTCTAGCCTAGTGGTCTCAAATTCTGGCAAGAACATGAAGAAAAAGAAGGACAAAAGTAAAAGGAAGACAAATGTCAATCCAAAAGACATTTGTAACTATTGTAAGGAACCAGGTCATTGGAAGAAAGATTGTCCCAAGAAAAAGGGTAAACCCTCTGCTGCTGTCGCTAAGGAAGAATCCACATCAGAAAATGAGCTAGTACTCTCAATTGCTGATCAACCCCAACATTCTGAAGATCAGTGGATACTAGACTCCGGCTGTTCTTTTCATATGTGTCCCAACAGAACCTGGTTTGACACCTATGAGAAGAAATCTGGCGGAAATGTTTTTATGGGAAATGATGCCCCATGCAAAACAATTGGTATTGGCACTATAAAGATCAAGATGCATGATGGAATTACCAGAACACTCACTAAGGTTAGACATGTTCCATAACTGAAGAAAAATCTAATCTCAGTAGGTGTAATGGATGGTAAGGGTTTCAAGTGCAATGCTGAAAATGGAGTTATGGAATTTCAGAAAGGCTCCACAGTAGTGATGAAGGGTATAAAGAGGGGAAATCTTATGTACTTCAAGGGAAAACATGTGTGAATGATGTGTCAGTGGCTGTAGCATCAAAATCTGATAAGGACATACCTGACTCAACTCAATTATGGCACATGAGGCTTGGTCATATGAGTGAAAGAGGAATGTTGACACTTCAGAAACAACAACTTCTGGGAAATCAGAAACTGAATGAACTTAAGTTCTGCGAGCATTGTGTATTTGGCAAGCAACATAGGATTAAATTCCCTAAAGCTGTTCACACCACCAAGGGAACCCTTGATTACATTCATGCAGATTGTTGGGGGCCCTCAAGAGTACCCTCACTAGGTGGTGGACGATATTTCCTCTCCATCATTGATGACTACTCAAGAATGACATGGATCTATATAATGAGTCATAAGAATCAAGCTTTCAGGTATTTCAAAGAATGGAAGGCATTGATGGAAAATCAAATAGGTAAGAAGATTAAAAGGTTCAGAACTGATAATGACCTAGAGTTTTGTTTAGCAGAATTCAACAATTTCTGCAAGGATGAAGGGATTGTTAGACAACTTACTGTCAGGAACACTCCTCAGCAAAATGGAGTTGCTGAAAGAATGAACAGAACTGATGGCATCCTTACTTGCATGAACTTGAGATGATGAGCAAGGAGGAGGACGCCTTCTCCAAGGATCAAGTTGTTTCTTGATCAATAGAACACCTTCTACAGCTATAGATCTGAAGACTCCTATTGAGATCTGGACTGGGAAACCAGCAAATTACTCTAACCTTAGAGTATTTGGTTGTAATGCCTATTACCATGTGAATGAAGGAAAGTTGCTACCTAGA